AAATGGCAATGAAAGTAGCAGAACAATGACACTGAAAATTCCCACAACAAAGTCGTAGGAAGAGAGGAAATTGAGATGGAGGTAGGAAAGGAAATAAATTGAAGAGAGATGGACAGCCGAGTGCATCTACAGGAAGTGGTGGTGGTGGTGGTAATATTGCTGTGCAATATAAATCTCCCTGGAAGAAGCAACAAGGAAATTTCCCCTGCAAGAACTGTCCACTTTCTAATATTCGTTCAAGAAAAAAAGCTAAAGGGAACAAGATACCACTAACCCACGGTCAAACGATCTTTGTTTGATCACTTAGGCCGACGCTTACTGTTGAATTTAGTGGCTCTGCCACATTCCGGATCCTCATCTTATTTAGGCCGCTAACTTTGAATCCGGATCCTCACCGGATCCTTTTTGTAAGGATTTAGGATTCGTAAATCGTATTTATTTATCGTATATCATGTGGTCAGAAATTATTTTAAATAATTTTTATTTAAAATTAAACATAAATATTACCTAACAAAATCTGACCGCATACTTACAATAAACAAACATAATTTACTGATTCCTATAATCCTCACCAAAAAATCCGGACAGGATCTTGGGCTAACTTTGACTCAAGCTAGTTGATTGGCTGTTTAGCTCCATGCGAAATATTACTCCTGGTTCAAGGCATGAATTCAAAGAAAAATGCATGCCTTGAACAACTAGTTAATTTTTGAAATGTCATATGAACTTGTTCATATTTTTCAATTTGTCATATAAACTAAAATTTTAAGCAATTTCTCGTACCAACTTTACAAAATCATTAATTTGTCATCTCACCTTAACTCCGTTAAGTTTTCCATCCAATATATGTCATGTGCCTAGCACATGACTTGTGTTCAGTGTTATTTAAGTCATTTTAACACATTTTCACAAGTTTTTTACTTTTCTTTAGTACAAACACTTAATGTTTTTTACTTTTATTTAACACGTATGTATCTACAACTCCATTTATGGTACAAAACATCAACATGTTTCTCATTTATAGAGCTCGTATGAAATTATGTCTTCATGACATGCTAAAATGCAAACTAGTTGTTCAGGAGTAATATTTAATGGCCATTTCTATCTTCAAGGCATGAATTCCTATTGGCCTTAAATCGTTTCAAATTTTTTATTCTTGGGTGATCCATGATGAATCATTTAATGGTTAAAATTCTAAACAATTGGTAGTGGTCCCAGAAAAAAAAAAAGAAAAAAGAAAAAGCGAAGCTATAACGAATGGCCACTTACTATAGTGATAGAAAGGAGTTGAATTTTTACACGACAGCGTGAGTTTGAATACCATCAACGATTAATTCATTTTTGCAAATGACCGTTTACAACAATAATAAAAAAAATATTGAATATTTGTATAACGGTATGAGTTTATACTCCGTCGATAGTTAATTTAATATTTAATTTAATAAAATTTCTCGTTAGACAGAAAAATGAAACGGTCAAACGATCTTTGTTTAATCTCTTAGGCCAATGCTTACTGTTGGATTTAATAACTCCATGTGAAAACCGCGTGATGACCATGTAAAGGCAGCAAGCGGCAATATTTTAAGACATTGGATGCTTTTCTTTTGATAGTAGTGGCGGTGGTGTCCTCAAGGTTTAGAGTGGGTTATAATGTCACATGGTGAATTATTCTTTTTTATGAAACAGGAACATCAAAATAATGATGTAATTAATCTCTTACGTTTTATCATATCATAAAATTAAAATACGATGCAAGGATATATTTAAAACACACCGCTCTACCTCTTCGGTGCAATGTAAACTTCCCTAAAAGAAGCTACAAAGAAATTCCCATGCAAAAACTGTACACTTCCCAATTCTTGTTCAAGAGAAAAAGCTGAAAGGAACATATTATGAAACCTTAATTTTTAGCAAGTCATTAATCACACGTACTACCAAAGTGAAAGGACAAATTGTTTTTATTTTTATTTTTTAATAAAGGATATTATATACATTAAGGGAGAAGAATGATGAGTTTAGTCTTACAATATGTTAGTAATGATGTGATTTAAATTCGTCTTTGACTAGAATAGAACCTAATAATTCTCACTTACAAATAAATATGAATATCATTAGATTGTAGTACTAATGTTGCAAGGACAAATTGTTTTCCACAAGAAAAAGGGTGGGAGACCAACTAATGAGAAAATTTCCAGGAAGATTCCATGTTGGGACGTGTTATCTTTCATCACCTTTTCTCTCCTTACCAAAGAGATTGGGTGCAATATTTCTAAGCAAGTTCCCAACTTTCTTCTAAGAAAATATTTCTTAGAAATATCAAGGAAATTCCCATGCAAGAGTTGTACACTTTCCAATATTTGTTAAAGAGAAAAAGCTGAAGGGAAACATATTATGAAACCTTAATTTATTAGCAAGCCATCAATCACATGCACTACCAAAGTGAAAGGAGAATTCTTTTTTCTTTTTTTTTTTTTTTTTAATAAACGATATTATCTACACTAAAAATTAAGAAATGTGATTAAACTTACAATAGGTTAGCAATAATATGGTTTAAATTCGTTTTTGACGAGAATCAAAAAGTTCTCACTGATAAATGAAGATGAATACTATAATATCGTAATGCTAATGTCGCAAGGACAAATTGTTTTCCACAAAAAAAAGGTGGGAGACCGCCTATGGGAAAATTTCCGGGAAGATTCCTTGTAGGTACGTGTTATATTTCTTTACCTTTTCTCTCCTCACCAAAGTCATTGGGTGCAGTATTTCTGAGTAAGTTCCCAACTTTCTTCTAAGAAAAGATTTCATGTCTCTTTGTAACTTTTCTCATTGGGTGCAATATTTCATCCACTATGAAACTTTTCTCATCCTTTTTGGGACCGTTCTGCAGTGCCTGAGCGAGCAGGTCGAAGAACTCTTTGATCCAGTATAGCCCTGACTCAAGGGCTCACCAAATTTATTCCCAGTCAGGTGCAATTGATAAGTGTTTTCAATTGTGGTATGAAATCTGAAGCCTAAGTAGCATTTGAAACAAATTTAATCCAAACTATTTTATGACATATTGAATCATCAAGAGCGGATTCATGTACCCGTCCTTATACAGAACTTAAATACGAGTTTGTTTGCCTTTCAACATTTATTCAGAAATTTGGAAAAATAATCGAATAATATTTAAATTAGATGATCAAACCAAGAAAGTAAATCAAGGGAATCAGTGGTCGTCTTAAGCACTAACAATTTACTAGTTATAAAATTAAGGGAATCGGTGGTCGTTTGTCTGCGACTCAATACCAGAAGCTGAATTGTGTCATTGTTTTAACAAAGTTGATTAACAATGCAATAAAAAAAAAATAATTAACCATTGATATTGATCCAAATCATGTATATTGACATGCAATGCATTAGGTGTTGGTAAAGGAGCCTTACATGTGTCCAGAGTTTTTGACATTTCTCGGTCGGCCATCTTGATGTTGATGACCTCTAACTAAAGCCAAACCTCAGTAGTTTTAAAAAGAGTGGACGGCTAAAGATAACACCGTGCATGATGCTGTTGCATACGAATTAACTTCATTATTTGCAAGCAAGAGCAATAGTTGGAATAACTCAAATTTGATGGCTACATTCAGTTGTGTGAGGGTTGGGAGGAGGGTCCTCTACAATATTTCAGACTGAATATAATTTGTCACTTCTAACTTTCAATCCAACAATTATCGACAATTGTCGCAAGAGGTTGATCAACATTGCTCCTAGTCCTCAAGACCTACAACAAAAGTAAGCATGGAAGCATAAGCAAGAGGTCTTCAAAGAACTTTTGTGTAATAAAACTTCTCAGTGGCATTTGATTGGTTTCTAAGGTAAAGTTTCACTTAATCGTTCATCTATTTTATCTTCTTTCTTCAACCGGTCATATCTGACCTATAGTTGGTAGCAATATGAAAAAAATATTTTGTCACTTCTAACTCTAGATTCTATTCAACATTTAATACAAGAGGCTGGTCAACATGGCTCTAGTCCTCAAGATCTACAGCAGAAGTAAGCAGGTAAGCAAAAGAAGAGGTCTTCAAAGAACTTTTGTGTGATAAAGCTTCTAGGTCGCATTTCATTGGTCTCTAAGACAAAGTTTCGCTTAATCGTTCATCGACTTTATTTTCTTTCTTCAATTGGTCATATCTGATTCGTAGCTAGTAGCGACATGAGGAAATATTTTGTCACTTTTGACTTTCTATATTCAATTCAACAGTTGTCATAAGACATTGTTGGTCTACATTGCCTCTAGTCCTCAAAGATCTAAATTGATGTTTACTGCTCTCTACTAAACCCCTCCATTGTATTTCCTTATTATCGTTACGATGTAGTGCAAATGCAGTATTCCTTGAGCCTTACTCTACCTTTAGAGTACTTTCGGACCTAATTTGACCAACTTAGAGCTAGGAAAACAGAATCGACCCTTTGAGCCTAAACATTAAAACATTGGCCCTACTTACGTGACAATTTCACTTAGAGTTAGGCTGCGACTCTTATCAAGGTTCGTTCATAAACACGATATGCAACATTGGATCTATATAACTCTCAATTCAATATTTACTTATCAGAAATGAGAAAAGGAAGGAATAAAAGAACTTAAAAATATAAAAAAGTGAGGAAAGAGAATCGGATCAACTAGCCCCCCTAGTTGATGCTTCCTTACCTTCAGGTCTTTGATAACGAATTTAAAAGAAAACTACCATTCTTCCCATTTCTTACGAGTTAGTAAATACGAGAGAAGATTTAGATAATTACATTCGGCAGCTGCTAAATTACCTCAGAAATAGACAACCACTTCCAAAATCATTTTTGTCACTACTAATATAGTTTAGTGACAATTCTCTTCAATTTAATTCAAATCCTTTAACGTAAAACATTGTTGTAAATGGGCCGAGTCCCCGTTACCTTTCTTCCATTGGAATTTACAGCCCATTTTCCCGCGATCCGGCATCTCCGATCTTTTACGTTTTCATCTTCTTTTATCACCTTCCAAGTTCTAACAATGGCTTCCTGAATCCGATGCTGGAGCTCCATCGCCACAACCGTCAACCCCAAAGATCACATCACGAAGCTTGCTCCTTCCATCCTCTTCCTCTCTCTCAGCTTCTCCTCTTTTCTTAGTCCTGCCACTGCTAGAGGCGGCCTTCACAGTTCCTACCCTCCAGGTCCCCATCTCCTTATCTGTCATATATATATAGATATACATATTTGTATGCATTTTATATGTATGTGTGTGAATTTAGTTCTTTGGGAATTGGAAAACTGAGATTACAAGAACGAGTAGTAATTTGAAAAATTTTCCTTTGATTTCTCAGGTGCCAAACGGTAGTTAATTGTGATCAGATAGATTATCACGCCTGTTGCTTTCTTAAAATCTTTACAGTTAAGGTGGGTTAGCGCTACTAGAAAAGGAAACTAAATCTTTAAGCATCAAGAATTTAGCTAATTGTAAATTAAATGTTGATAGGTTTCGAATTTGGTCCTCGCGCTGGTTCCAGCAGGCAATTGTTTGAAGTTAATGAGTCTCAGACGCGGCATTTATCACTAAAGTTGAAGTTTAGTAGCTTAACATGAATTATGTAATCTAACTTGATATACTTATGTGTTTACTGAAATTGTGAAAAATTGTGACAGTCTTGATGTGGCTCAAGGTCAAGGGTACATGACTAACTTTGACCTGGAACGGGCTATTAAGGCGTTCAGCCAAAGATGCAGTAACATTTCTAGGGTTTACAGGTGATTACGTGGGCTTGTGCATTTTTAACATTTACCAGATTATAAGTTTACCACTCGTTAGTATATGAAATAAAACAATGGTATTTGTTAGTAGTAGTTTGATAGTTTGAGCTGGATAAGTGCAGGATTTTTACTGTAGAATTTTTGTTTGTGCATCTCATGATGATTATGCTGATTTAATCTCATGAATATTAATTTATCCAAATTGCATCCAAGCTGCTATTTGGTAAAAACTTTTGAATCCTGAAATTTTAATCCGTCCTATATACAATCAATTTTTTGGAACATGGCAGGATTTTTGAAGGAAAACGCAGTAGTGTCCCCCCTTCCTCTCTGTATATAATAACGTAGAAATTATATTTGTTCCATAACCCCGAAAAAGTTATTATTCAAAAGAACAGGAATCTGCTTTGACTCTGTCGAGATTAGCACAAATTAGTCCTTGCAGCTGGTTGAAACTGAATTTAACCATAGAGCTGTGTAATAAGGATGCAGACACCAGTATCTGAAATCTTTTTGCAACAATAACGCTGAATAAGGGTCAGAAACTTAAATATAGGAAGTTTACATTGATTGCCCATTAGTGGAAGTTAAAAAAGTGCGACACCTTTGAATCCAGAAGGGTGCAGTACCTATTTACCACCAATTTGAGTTGATTCTGGTATTGGAGAATATCCATCTGCAGTCTTTATAAAAGTTTTATTCATTCCGCTAGTTCAATTATGTTACTATGAGCCACTTATGACCACAAGAAACTTATAATGAAACTGAGAAGCTGTAGTATGAAAAAGATTATAACTTATAAGTACATGCCAAAAGATTGAAGTGTAGTATTTCGCGTTTACTGTTGAAAAATGAAGTCATGAATTTCACTTTTTGTAGAAAAAGTTTTACGTACTACCCGGATTTCAGTTTATTGAGTGTTTGTATAGGTGACAGTGTAGTATTTTAGTATTCGGTGTGCTACATGAAAGCTTTCTTTTGTTTCTTTTCCGTTCCCCTGAATGTAAATCGATTGTTACTTATTTATGCAATTTCAAGTGATAGTTTGAACATTTTTAAAAAAAATATGCTGGGTGCAGCAGTGCATTGGAAATGTGCATGGAGATGAACCTGTAGGCTGTGAGCTTCTAATTCTACTTGCAAATTGGATATGTCTAATTATTGTTCTGTAACTCTTTAGTGTTATAACCTACTTTGCTTTGTAATTTATGGCAATTTTAAGTTACTTCATTCTTAAATTTTTGTCTTTTGCTATTTTCAATGTTTTCCCTCGTTACTCTTATTTTCATCTTTTTGTTCCTGTTTTGACATATCTACTTTGCAATTGCAAATAAAACTATTTTCAGACTTGTTAACGGAAAAGAAGAAAACTATTTTCAGACTACTTCTGGAAGCTTCCTCAATTTGCTAGCCATTTGTGAATTTTTAACACTTTAATTGTGATGTGTAAAGGCTTGGTTGTTGTTGAAGGATTCACCCTACTTAATGGCGTCCTAGGATGCATACAGCCGACCCCACTTAGCGGGATAAGGTTTGGTTGTTGTTGTTGTTGTTTGATTGTGATGTGTGATTTTTAGTAGACTGTAGGAAATTTAAAGATGTGTTGTACTCAGTTTGATCCCCCAGTGTGCTTTAGAACTAGAAGAAACCATCATTTCATGAATGCTTGTGTCTTCTGTAAAATAAAATTGATATCGTGCCAAATTAATTGTAAATCTTAATAGTGTGGAGGAAAGAAATCCTTTCCGCAAGACATAAGCATCCATCTCTTCCTCTGACCATCTATATATTTTTTTGTTTTAAATTTATTATTATTAGGGGGAGGGGGCAGATCTTTTGATTTCTTGCTTCAATTGGCATTTCAAGAATCCAAGTGTGATTATTCTTTGTTTGTGTTTAATCTATGTGGATGACATACTGCTCACGGGAAACAACACTTATCAAATGGCTCAGTTAATAAAGAGATAGGAAATGTGCATGGAGATGAACCTGTAGGCTGTGAGCTTCTAATTCTACTTGCAAATTGGATATGTCTAATTATTGTTCTGTAAGTAGTTGAACTACTCCATATATAGTCAATTGGTTTTATGGTGGAACCTTAATTTCTTCATAGTATTAGAGCAGGTTGTCCCACGTGTGAAGTCAAATGGTCAAACGGTCACATGCTCTCAATGTCACCCCGTTGTGTTATCCACGTGTTAGATTTGAAAATTCGTCACACGTAAAGGGGCGTGTTGAGAATGAGTCATGCATTGATGGGAGGAAGAACCTTGCATGAACTAATAAGTAGTTAGGCTACTCTCTATATAGTCAATTGATTTTATGGTGAAATCCCAATTTCTTCATAAACAATTGTAATCCAAACCATTTGATGACATATTGAATCATCAAGAGCATGATTCATGTACCCTTCTGTGTACAGAAACTTGATAGGATTGACTTGTTCTCAGCACAATTCACAAACACAATGCATAATGATGATCCTTGTTTAACAACCACACATTGTTTAACCAATTCTCTCTCGATATGTTCCTCAAAAAATCTAATTCATGCCATTCCTGTCTATTTATCCTATATGTTCTTGTTCCATTCTTCCAAGTGAATTAGCACTTCTGCAATATTACCTCTCGACTAGTTTGTTTGCCTTCCAACATTTATTTGGAAATTTGGATAATAACCAAATAATCTTTAAATTACATGATTAAACCAAGAAAGTAAACAAATGAGCTTATTTTTATCTACACCTTCGATTTTAATCGCATTTTACTCCCTGTAACTCAAAAATCGCCACCTCACTCCCTTAGATTCATAGTTTGCTCTATTTTGCCCCTTGCAAACTTGATTTTTATCCCCTGAAACTCGACATAAGAAGTTGGTCAACATTGCCTCTAGTCCTCATGACTAAAATTGATGTTCACTGCGCCACAAGGCTCTCACCTAAACACCTCCATTGTATTTCCTGATTATTGTTATAATGTTGTGAACATGATGTATTCCTTGAGCCTTACTTTACCTTCGGAGTACTTTCGTACCTAGTTGGACCAACCGAGAAAACGAAATAGACCCTTCGGTGAGCTTATGCATGAAAACATTGGAACTACACATGCGACGATTTCACTCATGATTAAGTTGTGACTCCTACCAAGACTCGTTCATAAACATGATTTGCAATATTGGATCCATATAACTCTTAATTCAATGTTTACTTATCTTAAATGAGAAAATAAAGGAATGAAATAACTTTTTGAGGACATCGATATATTTTTACACTAAGGAGAGGGGGAGTTCAACTAAACACAATGGGTAACCTAATTTGGTATGGAATTCGATTCGCCATCCACGAGATTCGAACCTAAGACCTCTCACTTCCAAGTGAAGAGGAATACCACCAGACCGTAGTACCAAATGACAAGGAATGAAATAACTTAGAAATATGAAAAGTAAGAAAAGAGAACCAGATCAAATGGCCCCCTACTTGATATGCTTCCTAATTTTTGGGTATTTTAAACGAAAAATTATTTTTTCAATTTCTTGCAGATTAGTAAATACAGGAGAAAATTTATATAAATTACATTTGGCATCTGGTAAATCCACTCTGAAATAGACAACTACTTCCAAAATCAATTTTTTCACTACTAATATAGTTAGTGACATTTCTACTCAATTTAATTCAAACCCTATAATGTAAAATATTGTTGTATATAAAAAAAAAATCAACCGATTTAATTTAGTTTGGTTCGGGCGGTTCGAACGGTTCATCCGGTTAGGTTTGTAGGCTTATTTAGGCCCAAACAAAAGTTGTTTAACAAATGGGCTGAGATCCATTTGCAACCCATACCACGAAGACCCCGTTTCTTTGTTCCGATTGGAAATTGCAGCCCCTTTTCCGGCGATCCAGCATCTCCGATTTTCGTCGTTACGTTTTCATCTTCCTTAACTCCTTCCGAGTTCCAACAATGGCTTCCTGAATCCAGCTCCATCGTCTCCATAGTCAACCTCAAAGATCCCAGAATGGAGCTTGCTCTTTCCATCCTCTTCCTTTCTCTCAACTTCTCCTCTTTTCTTCGTCCTGCTACTGCTAGAGGCGGCCTTCATACTTCCTACCCTCCAGGTCCCCATCTTCTCATCTGTGCTATATATATATATGTATATGTATATTAGTATGCATTTTATATTATGTGTTCATTTGCATCTGTGTTCATTTAGTTTCTTGGTTGTTTTTGGAAGTTGAAAAACTGAGATTACAAGAACCAGAAATAAATTAAAATATAGTAGTATTTAGTACTTACCAAGCAAAGAGCGATTGCATTAGTGCTTGTCAGCTTGTACTCTGGAGACTTTTAGGAAGAAAGGTTTTTGTAAATTGATTCATCCACATTCATTTTTTTCGCTCATCCAAATTGTTTAACTCAAAAGATACATAGTGTTCATAGGTTTTAATGCTAATGGATTACTTGATTCGGATGCGGAGAAATTAGTTATTACCAATTCTTTTGTTGTTCACAGGTTGCCCTTTTTGCAAATTATCCATAAAAGTTCTGCACTGAACCATGCTGATTGATAGCTTGATACTAGGGTCTTACTTTCATTCATGGAAAAAGCAAACGATTTGTTTGTTGAACATTTGTCCAGAATAATTTCATTCATTTCCATTAGACTTCTTCCGGCTGTACGTTGGCTTCAGTGTGAGTGTACGTTTTGATCATTATTCAATTTTACCTATGATGCCCAATGTGTTCAGGTTTCTAAATGTTTCTGTTATAGTGTGAAACAAGCATGGTGATGTCAATAGTAGGTCTTAAAGTGTTACTCTAATGTTATGAACATTGCCAATTACTTCTAATATGATTATGGATTTTCGGATGGTGCCTAACAATTATCCCAGAATTTATGCCAGCGCTTATTCATTTTTATTTTGCACATATGCTCGTCTTTTGATCGAAATTAAATTACAGGAAAGATTATTTGCATGTCCAGACGACGAGACATTCCGGTTCTTAGCAAGTGTATATAGTCGCTCTCACCACAATATGTCATTGCGCAAGGAATTTGAGGGAGGGATTACGAATCGAGCTTTCTGGTATATGGAGGCATGCAAGATTGGAACTACAAAAATGGTGGCTGTTTTGAATTGACTTTGGAGATTAGTGATAACAAATGGCCTACTGCTAACGAGGTCAGGCGTCAGTTAGGGCGAGTGTGTGCAACCTTTAAATATAAAACGACATTCTTTAGCCAAGTTTATCATGTATATGGGGATACGGTTGCGCCCTTGGTGTAGCTATAGGTCCAATGGACCTTGGTGTAGCTATAGGTCCAATGGACCTTGGTGTAGCCAAGTTTATCATGTATATGACATTCTTTAACCCTACTTTTCTTTGTAATTTATGGCAATTTTAGGTTACTTCATTCTTAGATTTTGGTCTTTTCCTGTGTTGAACGTTTTCCCTCATTGCCCTTATTTTATCTCATCTTACTAATCTATGTGGATGATAAACTGAGGCTTCTGTATATGCTTGGGTAAAAACTTAATCTCGTGGAGTTCGAAGAAACAGAAAACAGTTTCCAGGTCTAGAAGCTGAATATCGGCAGCTTGCATACACTGCCGCTGAGTTGCCTTGGTTATGTTCGTTGTTTAGGGACGTACATTAGAATCTCCTAAGATAACAGATTTGGTGTGATAATTTGTCTTCCATTGCCTTAGCATCCAATCCAGTTTTCCACTCATGAACCAAGCACTTAGAAGTTGATTATCATTATGTCAGGGAGAAGGTGATTAGAGGTGAGCTACTATCTGTCAACTTGCCGGGGGATGTTAGACCAAGTCAGACTTCTAGTTTCCAATCATACTCTCAGGTTTGTTATCTGTGTGATTCATCCTTATCTCAACAGAAGTTTAAATTTCATAAACTACCGTGTAAATAGGGTTTTGAAAGGGTACGCAAATTCAGCTGAAAACCTACCGTTCTAAGTTTTACAACTTTTTGTCCAAAGATGTCAGGAAAAATACTCTCAATGCTTAGTTTTTGCATCACCAAAGCCAAGTTTTAATCAAACCAAAGTTGTTGAGCAAAAAGTGTTGTTTCCTTAGCAACGTTTCTGTTTCTGGACTACAAGTTTGCATTGGTTACAAAATCAGACAGAAACAAATCAATTGCTACAAGTTTGAATTCAATCCGTGGTGTACATGTTAATGCTAATGGCGTCTTCAGAAAATGAACCTTAAGATCTGGACTGACAGAGCGGCCCCCATGGCGTTGCGAGTTTCCAAGGTACCCACTTGCTGCATTAGGCAAGATGATCAGATTGTTAATCAATCTTCTTAATGCCCAAGTAATCTGCAAAAGTGTTTATACATCAACATTCTTATCCACTCTGCCCTTTCAGTAAATAAAGCCATCTTAATATATAGCTCGAGAGATCGATTACATTGACTAAGATGTCGAAACAAAAAATAATTTTGATGACAATCATGCTGATGTGATGAATTGATGGTTACTTACTTGCATTTTTTGTGACATGGTGACTAGTTACAACGCCTTTTGCAAATTTGTTCTGTGTCATTGAAGCTAGCACTTCCGGGTCCACTTGGAGCTGTCTCGTCACGATATTCGCATGTTCGTTTCAGTAGTTTTTGGTTGAGTTCTTTCAAATCTTGCTCGTACACCAAACGAGCCCCACACTTCTTCACCATATTCAAGTTTGCTTTTAGTTCTCTCCAACCAATATCATCAAGAAAGTCAATTCCGAATAAAAACTGTACCTGATGACAATCTGCACGAGGCAAACAATATTGACGAGGAAAATAAAATAACCAAAGGTTTTCTGACACAAGAGACGGTAATAATAAGGTAGTCCAAGGGTATTGTGGGCCAAGGTTTTCAGGGCTAACAAGTTCCACTGAACAGTGAATTTTGAAACGACAAAAATGAGGAAGCTCCACATTTTGTAAAGGGTCTTGGTATTGAAAAACAACACAGAAGGCAATCCCAAGGCAGTTGGTACATGATGGTGGAGGAAGCTCCACATTTATTGAATGTCCCACACTCTGATTATTGAACCACTTTGGAATTTCACTTCCAGGGATAAGAATTTTCGATCCCTGTAGCAGAAGAAAGATCAATTATTGAGAGAGAGAGAGAGAGAGAGAGAGAGAGAGAGAGAGAGAGAGAGAGAGAGTACCAGAATGACAGATTTCAGAAACCTATTGATCAAGTCTTCATCTGGAACCAATGCAATGCAATTGCAGCAAGTGACACAAGCAAAATACAAATTGAATGCGCCTGACAAACTTCGTAAGGAAGTGCAATTGTCCAGATCTACCGTTAATCCTCTGTTTGATGGAAGAGGTGGCAATTTTTGAAGGCTTTTACACCCCTCCAGATGAAGATCCCTAAGCTTAGAAAGGTGTCTAATGCTTTCAGGTAGACTGACGAAATTATTTCTGTCGAGATACAATGTTTCCAATAAGGTCAAGGAGCCAATATCATCGGGGATATCCCCCTCCTGGAGATTACAATCATATAGACATAAGCATGTCAAAGAGCATAAACGATTTAGAGAAGACAACACCAAATGCCAACAAAGAGGAGGATCAGGGGGACTCTTTTCAAATCCAAAAAAGCGGCGAAGGCCCCACCCATCCCTTGCTGTACCATCTGATCCACAAGTGGCTTTAAATGTTAGAACTTTGAGATTTTTCAAACCCACAAGCGGCATTGTCATAGTGGGTCCCACGCTAAGCCACCATAAGTGATCCATGTTTCCTGGGAGTTTGTCAATCTTTGAGCATCCAATCACAGCGAGGTTTCCAAGAGACTTCAAATTACAAATAGCCCTTGGAAGGTACAAGAGATTTTTGCAATTCCGTAGAAACAAATGCCTAAGGCCAACCGCATGTCCAATTGATGAAGGTATTTTCTCGATCGCAGTGTTGTCTAACACGAGGAAGTATAAATTCTTCATCTGCTCCCCAAATTCTGGAATCGTTTTCACATTTGAGCAGCCATCAAGATTGAAATATTCAAGAGAATCCATTTCAACCTTACTTGGGAGGCTCTTAATGCTTTCACAGCCATCAAGTTTCAAAACTTCAAGTCTTTTGAGGACTGCAATAGACGGATGTATCTCAACTAAATTCTTACAAACGGAAAGATACAACTCCTCAAGATTTGGAAGACCACTGAAATCTGGGGTACTCTTCAATTTATTGGAGTTGCTAAGATCGATATGTTTCAAGTTGGGCAAGTCCTGCACAACACCACCGATAAGGTTCAGATCATATACTTAGCTTCCACAACCTTAAAGTTTCTTCAAAACAATAAATAAATAAATATATGATTATTTTGTAAATTAAATAGCATTTATTCTCAATGAATATGGAATAAATTTGGAACCTTTGGGATTGTACAATAAAAAAATGTCAAGGGTTCCTTGTTTTTAAAACTCAAGAAAAATTAAATAACATGTCTATTATTTTTTAAAATAATGTGTTAAAATATCATTGGACAAACTCAAAATGTGAGTATTGACTAGTGAATAACCAATATTATCTTTTGTTCATAACTACTCTTACCACTTTTCCCCCCAAAAAATGAACAAGATTGCTATTACGCATCCGAAGTTTAGCAAGCAAGTGCGGGCGAAAGCTTGTTGGAAGAAAATTTGAAGGATACCAACTCCAATTTATAATTCTCAAGGAACATGGAAGAGATTTGGGGCCTGAAGAAAAGATCAAATTATTGAATTCCAAAAACCTCAGTCTCTCCATCTTAGAGAAGGCTTCGCAATTCCACTGGGGCACCTCTTCTACGTTGGACAAGCGTAAGGATATGGCTTCAATTGCTGCCGTTCCCTAGCAATTAAGAAAAAAAGGACAAATTAATTTCACATTCAAGTCTAATATAATGTCAAAAGAAATCAATATCTTCTTCCAAACTTGGTATTTAACTTCTTACCTTATTCTTCCTAAATATCTGATCGATGTCATCATAAAGCCACAACCTACTGCGCTGACCAGGCTCTTTAGACTCTTGACGAACACTTTCACGTGCCATATCTTGTATCAAGTCATGCATCCATATATGTTTGTAGCGATCTTGATAGAGGAGAGATCTCTCAATTAGTACATCTATCATAGTACTACTAGAAATTCCAAAAGAAATATCTAGTATTTCAATTACTTCCATTCTGTGCTTCCCTTTGTGGAGACATGCAACCTCAAGAAAAATGCTCTTCTCCATCTCTTCTAGTCCATCATAACTTATTTTAAGTTTATCAATAATTTCTGTATTAGGAATTTTTGATAGATTATCCCGTGTACTATTCCAAAAATCTAGCCCTCTCTTAAACAATGCCGACCCAAAAGTTTTAAGAGCTAATGGAAGGCCTCCAGCATATTTAATGAAACACTCAGACAGTTCCAAAAACCCATCATCGGGCATATTTTTCTTAAAGGCATGCAGGCTAAACAGTGCAAGAGCCTCATCATCATTTAACACCTCAACATTATGACATAATGGTATGCCATGCTCGACTAGCAGACGTTCATTTCTAGTTGTAATGATAATTCTGCTTCCCATGCCAAACCAATCTTCCTTTCCAGCTAGTACTTGTAGTTGGTTTATGTGATCCATGTTGGAATATGTGGCCAAGTGGCCAACTCACATCCACTTTCGGCTAATAAAATAATAAGGTGGACAAAATCATTGTTGCTTTCCTTGTTTTGAGGAGAAAAGGAAAGGCTAGCAAGTAGCCTTATTATTTTATTTGTATTTGGTTGTTTTTAAAGGGAATGAAGGGTGCAGCCGAGTGAAGAGAAAAAAAAGAAGGAAGGGCACCATTTGTTTTTGAGCATTCCTTTTGTGAGAGCATCCAAGGGGAGAGCATTCGGCTCTCCCATGGAAAAGGTTGAACATGGGTTGAGAGAAAATCGAGAGAGCTAGAGTGAAAAGTATTCTAGTGAAAGAACTCTTGGGGTAGAGTGAGGCTCTTGGGAAAATTCTGTGAGTGGGTGTACAAGGGATATGGGATTGAGTTATATCGATTTAACTCATGTATACTTGTACTGTTATTCTCATAGTGAAGAGCAATATCTCTCCGGGGACGTAGGCAGTTTTTTTGCCGAACCTCGTAAATTTCTCTGTGTCTTTATTTCTTGTACTTTATTTTGTTCAACTGTGTGTGATTTTTGGTGAGGTTGTAATCTGAATCTCGGTTCCGCACTAACGAACGGGTCAAGGCACAACAATTGGTATCAGAGCATCGTTGGGGGCTTTGGTTCGTTGGAGGTCCAGATTTGTTGTTCACCATGGAATTTTCAGTTGAGCAGTTTAAAGGGAGAGGCGGTTTTGCTCTTGGTAAAGGAGAGTAATGGAAGTCTGAAGAAATGGAAGCCGTGTTTAGGGATGCTTGGATCAACTACGAAAGTTGATGTTGAGGAAGAAGACAAAGGCCTCTTTCTTCTTACCTCACTTTCAGATTTGTACGAGAACCTTGTGAAACTTTACTGCAAGGAAAGAAACAGTAAGTTTGGAGCAGGTGCAAGCTTCTTTGGTGTGGAATGATACACACAAGAGACCATGGATGATGGTGGGCACAAGACTGCTTAAGCTATTCAAGGTTGAAATCGTGGAAGAAAATTGGAAAGAGGATCTGAGAGAGACAGCAGGTTCGGATCCGGTTCCGGAGGCAAGGGTCCACAGTGCTACGGGTGCAAGGCTGGGTTAGCAAGTTTGTGGTGGAAGACTTTGAGTATGCCCTCTAGGTACTCGAAGCAACACTTCTCCTGGTGATGTTTAGTCTCAAGTGTTGCAGGGGTTTTGCAGCAGGTGGAGCTATGGGATTCACAGGTGATGAGAAGGTCCTGAGGTAGGAGGAAGTGTGGGAATTTTGTCTGGCTCGATGGGTTGTTGCTGGAAATAGGCGCGCTGACGAGTTTCCAGGTTGCAGACAATGAAGAGGAGGAAAACCTGCTGCAGGAGACGAGGATGTGTTGAGATCCTGTCTGAAGCTAAATGGTGATTTTTAGCTTGCAGCAGCTGCACATGCATTGGCAGTGACTGAATCGGAACAGGACCAACGAGGTTGATTCAGAGTGTGCATGCTGGTACGTAAGGCCAATGAATTTTGGAACTTGGCCAAGGTGGAGATTGTTGGAATATGTGGCCAAGTGGCCAACTCACATCCACTTTCGGCTAATAAAATAATAAGGTGGACAAAATCATTGTTGCTTTCCTTGTTTTGAGGAGAAAAGGAAAGGCTAGCAAGTAGCCTTATTATTTTATTTGTATTTGGTTGTTTTTAAAGGGAATGAAGGGTGCAGCCGAGTGAAGAGAAAAAAAAGAAGGAAGGGCACCATTTGTTTTTGAGCATTCCTTTTGTGAGAGCATCCAAGGGGAGAGCATTCGGCTCTCCCATGGAAAAGGTTGAACATGGGTTGAGAGAAAATCAAGAGAGCTAGAGTGAAAAGTATTCTAGTGAAAGAACTCTTGGGGTAGAGTGAGGCTCTTGGGAAAATTCTGTGAGTGGGTGTACAAGGGATATGGGATTGAGTTATATCGATTTAACTCATGTATACTTGTACTGTTATTTTCATAGTGAAGAGCAATATCTCTCCGGGGACGTAGGCAGTTTTTTTGCCGAACCTCGTAAATTTCTCTGTGTCTTTATTTCTTGTACTTTATTTTGTTCAACTGTGTGTGATTTTTGGTGAGGTTGTAATCTGAATCTCGGTTCCGCACTAACGAACGGGCCAAGGCACAACAATCCACATCATCAAGTACAAGAAGAACCTTTTTGTTGTGTAAGCACTTCTTAATGAAAATGATTCCGTGCTCTTCATCCCAAATTTCTTCGATCTTTTCCCTCAACACCGGGAAAAGAAGTCTTTTTTGAAGATCAACGTTAGAAACCTCTCTAACGTTGCCGAGAAAGCAGTGAACTTCAAAATGATGGAAGATTCTATCATAAACAAGCTTAGCAAGGGTTGTCTTACCAATGCCACCCATCCCCGTTATCCCTATAAAGCGAACATCATTGACATCATGAGCTAACAACGAACTTAGTTGCTCAAGCCCAAAATTAACCCCAACCAACTCCTGTGGGGAATCTAACAACGGGAATGTAGCTTGCACTTTCCTCCACACACTTTTGACGAGTTGTTGTATAATCTCACTTTCACTCCTACATGGTATGAAATAACCAATCAAAAAAACATAAATGAAGCATCCAATTTTGACTCTACTAAGACATGGGAAATTAAAGTTGTTCATGCATACTTACTTAGATTCCTTCGAGTGCCAACCACAAATTTTGGACACTTTTTTTAGATCAGCTTTCCATTGGACCACCTTCTCTTTATCTTCGGTACTGCTCGAATTTTGTTCATGCTTCGTAAAGGCTTCGGCAAAACATCCCCGTTGATTTCCGACGTCAGATGGATCTGTCTGATAAAAGACCGGCAGAACTGAGTTCCTGGATTCCATGCATCGAAGAATGGTTGTAAGTTCGTCCAAGCACCATTTGGAAGAAGCATAGTTCGGTGAGAGAACAACAATTGCAATATGCGATTCTTTGATCGCACTTGAGAGCTCAAGATGAATACTTGTTCCTCCTTCAAGCTCTCGATCGTCCATGAAAGTCGTAATTCCTTGGCATTTGGACAATTCATGGTGTAAATGGGATACAAAGCCCCTGCGGGTGTCTACACCCCTGAAACTCAAAAACACATCATACTTCCATAAAGAAGCTGATTCATTCAAAAGAAAAGATGCAGGGGCTCTTTGGGTGCTCAATGCCATAGGAAGAACAGTTGCTGCAAATTGGGTGCTGCACATATGAAACAGGAACTGAATGAACAAGTAAAAAGAATAGAAGATCCATGTTCTAAAATTCAAAAAAACAAAATTTGAAACTTCAAATGTATTTTTGATAATTTACAAGATGCAATTTTTATACGTAATTACAGGGACTCACTCCGGTCAGATATTTGACCGTGTCAACACATATTTGACAATTTGATTTGATCTTACAGTCCAGGTAACTCAGTTTAAGTAGTTGATCATATTCAGTTACCGGAAAATGGATCCTGCAAACAAAAACAGTAGTCAATGAACAAGTAAAACAAAAACGAGCAGTGCAACGAAAATAGAAACTTTAAAGTTGTTTCAGTAATTGAAAACGTATATTAAGCAAAAGATACGAAGGACTCAGAAAAAATATCAGAAAAACAAAATACATGATCAGCAGAGACTTACACAGGCAGAGAGAAGTGACAAATGGCAATGAAAGTAGCAGAACAATGACACTGAAAATTCCCACAACAAAGTCGTAGGAAGAGAGGAAATTGAGATAGAGGTAGGAAAGGAAATAAATTGAAGAGAGATGGACAGCCGAATGCATCTACAGGAAGTGGTGGTGGTGGTGGTGGTGGTAATATTGCTGTGCAATATAAATCTCCCTGGAAGAAGCAACAAGGAAATTTCCCCTGCAAGAACTGTCCACTTTCTAATATTCGTTCAAGAGAACAAGCTAAAGGGAAGAAGATAACAGATAGTCTTATTTTTAATTAACTTTCAATTTTTGATCACGCTAACCCTGACGCTTACTGTTGAATTTAGTGGCTCTGCCACATTCCGATTGGGCCGTTTGTTTTGACTCAAGCTCATTAGTTGGCTGTTAATAGCTCCATGTGAAAGCTCATTAGTTGGCTGTTAAAGCCACGTGATTGCCTTGTTCAAGGCATCAAGCAGCCAAGATTATTTAGTGGGATGTGTTATTCACACATCATTTTTACTTTTCAAATACATTTTTTTATTTTTAACTGTTGGATCGAATGAATTGAAAAATATCTAAGAACAGAAATTAATAAGGAGTTTGTGAGAAGTTAAAAGGGGTGTGTGGATATCACACCCCTTATTTAGGCCACTAACTTTGAATTCGGATTGGATCTTTTTTGTGAGGGTTTAGGATTCGTAAATCATGTTTGTTTATTGTATATCGTGTGGTCATAAATTATTTTAAATAATTTTTATTTAAAATTAAATATAAATATTACCTGACAAAATCTGATTGCATACATACAATAAACGGATGGAATTTACGAAAAAATCCGGACAGGATCTTGGGCTAACTTTGACTCAAGCCAGTTGATTGGCTGTTTAGCTCCACGTGAAAGCCACGTGATGCATATATTCAAGGCATGAATTCCTATTGGCCTTAAATCGTTTCGAATGGCCATGAATTCCTACTGGCATGAATTCTAAACAATTGGTAGTGGTCCCAGAAAAAAAAAGCGAAGCCATAGCAAATGGCCACGTTTCATGGTGATAGAAAGGAGCTGAATTTTTACATAACGGTGTGAGTTTGAATACCGTTAACGATTAATTTATTTTTGCAAGTGATCCTTTACAACAATGATAAAAAAAATGTTGAATTTTTGTATGACGATATGAATTCATGCTCCGTCGATAATTAATCTAATATTTATTTTAATAAAATTTCTCGTTAGACGGAAAAATGAAACGGTCAAACGATCTTTGTTTAATCGCTTAAGCCGATGCTTAGTGTTGGATTTAATAGCTCCATGTGAAAGCCGCGTGATGACTGCAAGCAGCAATATTTTAAGACATTGGATGCTTTTCTTTTGGTAGCAGTGGCGCTGGTGTCCACAAGGTTTAGAGTGGGTTATAATGTCAGATGGTGAATTATTCTTTTTTTATGAAACAGGAACATTAAAATAATAATGTAATTAACCTTTTACGTGTTATCATGTCATAAAATTAAAATGCGATACAAAAAAAGAATAAATTTAAGTCACACCGCTCTACTGTTCGGTGCAATGTAAACTTCCCTAAAAGAAGCTACAAAGAAATTCCCATGCAAAAACTGTACACTTCCCAATACTTGTTCAAGAGAAAAAGCTGAAGGGAATCTATTATGAAACCCTAATTTTTAGCGAGTCATTAATCAGACGTACTACCAAAGTGAAAGGATAAATTTTTTTTTTTTTTAAATAAAGGATATTATATATACTAAGAGAGAAGAATGATGAGCTTAGTCTTACAATATATTAGTAATAATATTGTTTAAATTTGTTTTTGACTAGAATCGAACCTAATAATTCTCACTTACAAATGAAGATGAATATCACTAAATTATAGTACTAATGTTGCAAGGATAAATTGTTTTCCACAAAAAAAGGGTGGGAGACCGACTATGAGAAAATTTCCGGGAAGATTCCATGTTGGGACATGTTATCTTTCTTCACCTTTTCTCTCCTCACCAAAGGGATTGGGTGCAATATTTCTAAGCAAGTTCCCAACTTTCTTCTAAGAAAATATTTCTTAGAAATATCAAGGAAATTCTCATGCAAGAGTTGTACACTTTCCAATATTTGTTCAAGAGGAAAATCTGAAGGGAAACATATTATGAAACCTTAATTTATTAGCAAGCCATTAATCACATGTACTACCAAAGTGAAAGGACAAATTGTATTTTTTTTTTTTAATAAACGATATTATCTACGTTAAAAATAAGAGAATGTGATTAATCTTACAATAGGGTATCAATAATGTAGTTCAAATTCGTCTTTGACGAGAATCGAATATAAGAATTCTCACTTATAAATGAAGATGAATACTATTATATTGTAATGCTAATGTCGCAAGGACAAATTGTTTTCCACCAAAAAAGGTGGGAGACCGCCTATGGAAAGATTTCTGGGAAGATTCCATGCAGGTACGTGTTATCTTTCTTTACCTTTTCTCTCCTCACCAAAGTCATTGGATGCAATATTTCTGAGTAAGTTCCCAACTTTCTTCTAAGAAAAAATTTCATGTCTCTTTGTAACTTTTCTCATTGGGTGCAATATTTCATCCACTATGAAACTTTTCTCATCCTTTTTGGGACCGTTCTGCAGTGCCTGAGCGAGCAGGTTGAAGAATTCTTTGATCCAGTATAGCCCTAACTCAAGGGCTCATCAAATTTATTCCCAGTTAGGTGCAATTGATAAGTGTTTTCGATTGTGATATGAAATCTGAAGCCCAAGTAGTATTTGAAACAAATTTAACCACACCATTTTAACCAAACAAATTTAATATAAAATGTTTACGTGGCTTAACCATGATCATACATCATAAGGCATGATGAATATATAAAAATAGAAGGGCAGAGAATCCACCTCTATAATACAAGGCACTGGATGCTTTTCTTTTGGTTCCCATCAGCAAAAGAGAAAATGAAAGGCAGCCTAAGCCTTTCTCGTTTCTGAAAAAAGCAGAGAAAGACAGCCCGAGTGCTTCCAGTGGCAGTAGGGGTGTTGGCCACAACACGGTTTAGTGTGGGTCATAGTGTTAGAGTGTGATTTTTTATTTATTTTTTTTTTTTTTTTTTTTGACAAAGAAAAGTTAATATGATCGTTTACCTGAAGTAGGAGCAAAAGAATAAAATATTTAGGATGGTCTATAGTAAGGTATACTGTTATAGCCGTTATATTTTGATATTTCTATTTTTAAATAAAAATTTAATAGTTAAAATGATAGAATAGAAGCTATAGATAAGAAATGGTAAACAATTAGAAATACTTGCTCACTCTTTCTTTATTTGAAACGGGAACGTCAAAACAGTGGTGTAATTAATTTATTACGTGCTATCAGGTCACAAAGTTAAAATACAATGTGAAGTGGGGATAAATTTGAGCCACACTACTCTAAAGTTTTCGTGCAATGTAAGTCTCCTTGAAAGAAGCACCAAGGAAATCTCCATGCAAGAAATCGAGAGATCTGGCCTGCTGATTGGTGTGTAAGATAAATCATGGCCGTTGGTTATGTGTGAAAGGTCAGAACAATGAATTAATAGAGATCATTGGATTAAATTTATACGGCTTAGATCTCTTGTTCCTAAGCTCCCGGAGCGGATCCGTTCCCACTTGTTTAAGAGGAAAAGCTAAAGGATAAACGTCAACACATGTACTACCAAAGTTAAAGGAGAAGGATTTTCCAGAAAAAAAAAAAAAAAAATTGGTGAAAGACTAACCATGAGAAATTTCCAGGAATCTTCGTTGTTGTTGGGACGTGTTATCTTTCTTCAGCTTTTCTCACCAAACCGATTGGATGCGAGACGTCAGACTTCTCGTAAGTTCCCAACTTTCTTATTATAATATATTCATGTCTCCTTAATTATGTTCCGTTAATTCGTTTGTTACCAAGTTACCAATGTGAAAAAGAAAGTAAAGAAATAATGTAGCCAATAATAGTACAAGGCAGTGGATGGTTTTCTTTTGGTTCCCATCAGCACAGAGAAAAAGAAGGCAGCCAACGCCTTACGGTTCCTAAAAAGCAGAGAAAGATGGACACTTGGACGTTCATCTGTTGGTAGTAGTGGTGGTGGTGACCACACGGTTTAGTGTGGGTCATAGTGTCAGATGATGAATTATCTTTTTACAGAGAAAAGGTTGTATGATTGTGTGGATGACCTAATCAAGTAAAAGAATAAAAAATTTAGGGTGGTTTGTAGGGTGTTATGTCTGTTATATTTTGATATTTGTACTTTTACATAAATATTTAATTGTTAAAATATTCAAAATATTTTATATTCTCGAGTACAGTAAAAATTTCGTATACAAAACAAGAGATATATTATTCACATATCTCAAATTACTTCTCATACATTCTTTATTAATTTTTATGCGTTGATCTTCTTTAATTCATCCGATTCGACAACTAAAAATTAAAATGATGTGTGTGAAGTAAAATAGGATGTGTAGATATCACATCCCACAAAACAATTGGTAATGGTCCAAAAAAAGAAAGAGAAGTTATGGTTAAACGTCGCTCAATCCTTTTTCTTTACGTGAAACGTGAGTGCCAAGATAACAGTGTAATTAATCTATTAAGTGTTATACTGTCACAATGTTAAAAAGTGGAGATAAATATGAGTCACACCTAACGTTTTGGTGCAAGGTAAATCCCCCTGAAAGAAGCAACAAGGAAATCTCCATACACTAGCTGTCCACTTTCCAAACTCGTTCAAGAGAAAAACCAAAGTTGAAGGACAATTATTTTCTACCAAAAAAGTGGCAGACCGACTATGGCATATTTCCATTCCTTATTGGGACGTGTAATCTTTCTGCTGAGAAAAGAGTTCATGTCTCTGTTTTTTTTAAATAGGAAGATTTTGTTTTTCTTTTAGAAAACAGGGGAAGATAATTATGTCACCCACTATAAAACTTTTCTCATCATTTGTGGAACCAGTCTGCAGTGCATGAGATGGTCGAGAAATTCTATAATTTAGGAGTAGGTTTTAAGTTTTTTTTTAAGTTTTTTTTTTTTCAGTTCTATTCGGTTTTGTTTTATATAAAACCTGATTCTTTTTTTTTTTTTTTAAATCTGAAAAATATCATCAGGAATATAAAATCAAACTGCGCGAAGGCTTAGCAGCAAACCCAAATAATGTACTGCATGAAACATGTTTGTCCGAAGACACTGGCTACAACAATATCAATTAAACTCTA